GAGAAACTGATGCTTAAAGAAATTAAACAATTTGTTCACAGCTTTCTGAGTTTACAATCTTGCCTCTTTTTAAGGAATTTTACCTGTCTAGACAAACTAAGGTGTAAGAAGTAAATACATGCTGATGCTGGTATAATCTATAAGGTTCTGAAGGGCAGAAGACAGAAAAGGACAATTAGGATCAGAGAAGCCAAGGAGGGATCTATGGGGGAGATGAAGATAAGTGTGATAAGTGTGAAGATAAGTGTGTGGGCAAAAATATCAGAGAAAGGCATATGCATGGGGGAAGGGGATATGCTTGTATTTTGATACAATTCCCCTTTTCTCGCTGTCAGATATTTAGGGGGAAAATGAACACAGAAGTCACTGTGAAGTCCCAGAACCTGATTCTGAACAGTATTATATACATAGTAGGCACAGGATAGAAGTTCACTGAAAGAAAAATGTATTTGTTAAACTGGTTCTAAACCATCTCTTTAAAGTTGCTGCCTCACAATTTTTTTATTACATTGTTGAAGAGAAAATATAACATGAAACTGACGGGAAAAAGGGCTTATTTTTCAGTGCATTCTCATTTAAGGAAAGGTCTTAAAGTAAATTCAATGTATTAATGAGAAATCTGTGGGAACAGCTGCTAACATTAGTAAATTCAGCCCTCTGTTACATAGCTACTACTTATTTGGGAATTATACAGGCTTGCCAACGAAGGCTGCTAATGGAAAATAAATATTTGATTTTGTTGTCTCATCCTACCACATTTATCAAACAAGTTCATTTACATAACTATCCTAGAGAATGAAGATTCTTCTGTTTCCACCACATACATCTCAGATGAATTCATGTTATTAATGACAATTAATTATTAATGACAATTTGGGAAGTACCTTCCTTCCTTCCATCCCTCCCTTTTTTCTTTCTTTCTTTCCTTCCTTCTTCTTCCTTCTCTTCCTTCTCTCTCTCTTTGTCTCCCCCCTCCTTACCTCTCTTCATAATTTCACTTTGTATGCATGTGCTCAAAATGTCTGGCTGATTTTAGAACACTTTTCACAGCAAACAGAGTGAAATAATATCATCTTTAGCTTCTGACTCTTCAGCTATGTCTTCAAATTATTAGACTTGGAATTCTGAACTTGACTTATGGATGATGGATCCCAATGCTCTGGCTCCAGGCCTGAATGCTGGGGTGGCAGAAACCCATTCTGGAAAAAATTTAGTTTTCCAAGTAGTCAAGGGTGATTAATGAAGAGGTTTTTTCTTAAATCTGGTTCCCAAGAGTGAGCTGTTGTGTTCCCTGAAGCTGAAAATGGAATACTGGGGTTGATTATTCCTAGCATTGAATGGTTACCCAAACGATTTGAATGATGCCACAACAATAGGTAAAACAAAACAATAAAAACCCCACACTTAATGAAAAGAAAATAAAAGGTCTATATATTGAGAGTAGAACTAGTTTGTCTAATTTAGGCCAGTAATTCATGGAAAAATAAATTGAGAGCCATGTAAGTAAAAACCAAGTTAATACATGAGTGGTTTTCTGAATCTGCAGAGAAAAAAAAAAGAAATATTTTGCTCATTCACTTTAAACTTAACAACAGAGAATACTAAGAACGAAAAATAAATTAGTAAACAAATGATAAAATCACATTAAATAAGTATATTCAAGTTGCTAGATTATATATTAAAAGCTATTTTGAAAATACATCTTGATTTTATAAAAATATATATTGAGGTTTATATTATGACCATTTGGAATGTGTGTGTGTGTGTGTGTGTGTGTGTGTGTGTGTATGAGAGAGAGAGAGAGAGAGAGAGAGAGAGAGAGAGAAACAGAGAGGACAGTAGAAGGGGAAGCAAACATGCATGAAAAAAGATGTGTGCAATATCCAAAGGACAAAGAATAAGACGTGGTGAGAAAGACTAAATCATTATGGGAGATGAAGATACACTGACGAGAGCAAGAGCCAGAGCGAAAACACACAAGTCACACATGCATACACACATGAAAAGCCAGAGGAAAGAGAAAGCTATAAAGACAAACATTTTCATTAATTCAACAAATATTTATTGATGCAAAAAACAGTTCCAGAGCAATGGGGGCAGCAGAGGAGGGAAGCTTGGTAGTTAAACTTTGAGTGCAGCCAAAATGAAGTTGGCTGTTGACCATAACTGTATAAATTTTTTTCAAGGCCTAGTATAGGTGGAAGCACTATGCTAGATACTAAAGGAGACAAAAGGAGAAATAAAATAGAATCCTTATCCTCTAAGGCTTATGAAAAGGTTGTTCGCCTGCAAGTGAACTATCCGGTGATTTCACCATTCTTTAAAATGATGAACTCAGTGGAAATTTAAAATAAACTTTCCTGCAGAAGGCAAGCAGAATTTCTGCTTTGATGTTTTAGTTTAGATTATCCAGACTTTACAAAGGTACTCAGAAATAAAGAACTTTACTTTTCACCTTTAGAGGTCAGGGTATAAATAACAGGCAGAAGGGGAAATCTCTTTGGTATGCAAAATTGCTTGGTGGCCTAATCTTTGTTCTTGTAGGAATTAGTCTTGCTTCATTACCTGGGAGATATTTGAAACCATTTCTTACTTTTTTTTTTCCTTTTTAAATTCAATGCTATTGTTGGCTCAGTTGGGTCTTGGTGGGAATGAACAATCAAAACAAAATCATAACATCTCTCATTCCCACCTCTAAAAAAGAATTTTGTTTGAAGAAAGCTCTTTGTGACTAAATAAATAAACAAATAGCTCCCATTTAATCCTACAATTATAGCAGTTCTGTCCATTAGAAAGATAATGTGAGGTGGAAATAGGACAAAGGGTATTATATCAAACAAAAAGCTTCTGCATAGCAAAGGGAAAAAATAAAGCAAAAAGACAACTTACAGAATCATAGAAAGTATTAACAAACTATATATCTGATAAGAAGTTAATATTCAGAATATACCAGAAACTCAATTCAATGTGAAAAAGGATACAATTTTTTTTTACAAAAAGGGTAATAGGGCTGGGGAAATAGCTCAGTGATAGAGGCCTGGGTACAAATAGATAGGTCCTGGGTTCAATCCCCAGTACTGGAAAAAAAACAAAACCAAAAAAAAAAAAAAAAATAGACCTGAGTAGATATTTCTTTAAAAACACATACAAATATCCAACAGGTATCAGAAAATAATGTTCAACATCACTCCTCATCAGGGAAATACAAATCAAAATTTCAGTGAGGTATCATTTCAGTCTGCTAACAAAGACTATCATCAAGAATACTAAATATAACAAGTGTTAGCAATAATGTGAAGAAAAGGGAACCCTCACATTCTGTTAGTGAGAATGTGAATGGAAGTTCCCCAAAATACTAAAAATAGAATTACCATATGACCTAGTAATTCCATTACTGGTAATATAGCCAAAGGAAATCAAATCAGCATGTCAAAGACATATCTGAACTCCCCTGTTTACTACAGGACTATTCACAATAGTGAAATAGAATCAACACAAGTATCCATCAACTAATGAATTGATTCAGAAAATATGGTCATATATGCAATGGAACACTATGCAGCCATTAAAAAGAATGAAATCTTGTCATTTGCACCAACATGACTGGAACTGGAGGATAATAAGTAAAATAAGCCAGACAAAGAAAAATCGTCCATGAACTCACTCATATGTAGAATGCAAAAACGTTGATCTTATATAAGTTAAGAGCAAAATAATGGTTACCAGAGGCTGAAGAGTGTAGTGGGGAAGAAGGGTTGGGGACAGACTCATCCATGGATACTAAATTATAGTTAGGAGAAATAAGTTCTGATGCTCTATTTCACAGTATGGTGACTATAGATCATGATAATGTAACGTATATTTTTAAAAAGCTGGAAGAAAAGACTTGGAATGTTTTCAGCACAAGGAAGTGATAAATACTGGAGGAGATAGATATGCTCACCCTGATTTGAATATCATGTGATATTTGCATGTACCAAACATCACACAGTTGCCTATAAATATGTACACCACTATGTCAATTTGTAACAACAAAATATTTAGAAAGAAAAAGAACCTAATATAAACCCTATTATAAACCTCCTAGTGTTACAGTTTAAAACATTTTCAAAAGTACAATTAATTGTAATAATATATTTTATTTAATTCAACATATGTTGTTTTATCATTTCAACATGTAATCAATATACAATTTACCAAGGAGATATTTCACATTCTGTTTTCATATTGTTTCAAAATTAGATGTATATTTTATATTTACAGCATATCTCTTGATTTGGACTAGCCAAATTGCAAATGCTCCACAGCCAAATGTAAATATGACTACCATATTGAATAACAACGATCTGGAGGGCTATTTCCAAATGGAGTGTATATTTCACCTTTACTGATAGCACTCCCAGAGTCTTCACCGATTAAAATAAAATCTAAAACCAGATTTTCTTTTCTTAGTCCTCTTCAATGCATGACACTGTCCGTTTACAACTTGTCTTGTAGTATTTTCCATTGAGGAATGAAGCAAATGAATTGAGGATTGTGACTTAGGAAGGCACAGTTTTTTATACAGAACTTTTCTACTTCAAACACTGTTGCTGACTCAGGCCCTCCCATTTAGTATTACACTAAGGCCTAAGAGATATACCTAATTATAGCTGACTTGCAGAACCGTTGACCCCTCCCTTCAGTTCCAGTGATCTAACACTGGTTCCCATGTCTAGCTGATGATCAGGAATATCAGGAACTTTTTGCAAAGTTTTGATTCCTAGAGCCCATGACAGACTTCTAAGTCAAATCTCTGGCACCAGATCCTTGGGAATCCAGCAGATATGTTTGTAGATTTAATTATCAGTCAGTCTGCCAGCTTGAAAGACCAAGATTGTAAAACGCAAACACAATCCAAGAAATGACAAGCATGAATTGGCAGGAATCCAAGCTGTTATTAAATTTTAATACCTCTTGCTGGTGCTCATCTTTTGATATCTCAAATAACCATCACTTACCCTTGACCAATTTTTTCAAATCTTGTGTACTTTTTCTTTGGGTCTCCAACACTCACAATGCTTCCTAAGAGAGAGGTGGGGAAACAGGGAGAGAGAGAGAAGAGAGAGAGAGAGAGAGAGAGAGAGAGAGAGAGAGAGAGAGAGAGAGAGAGTTAAACTGATTAATTGATTTCTCTCTAATAAAGTCAATGACAAAAATTAAGCAAATACTCTCATATTTATGAAACATGCTACTTTTCGTTTGTTTTAAAAACAAATAGTAACATATGAATTAAAGTGGTAATAATTACCCATGATGCTTATATTAAAGTTTGATGATGTTTTTATGTTTTTTTTAGTTGTATGTGGACACAATACCTTTATTTTTATTTATTTATTTTTATGTGCTGTGGAGTATCTAACTCAGTGCCTCCCCTCACATGTGCTAGGCAAGCACTTTACCACCAAGCCACAACCCTAGCCCAAATTGATGATGTTTGGAAAACAAAACAGGGTTGGTCACAAAGTTTTCATAAAATAATATTGTAGATTAGGAAATGAAAACATCTAAGAATTTTTTTAGACACTTTTATTAAACTTTATTATTGGAAAGACGAATTCTCTGACTTGGAATAAAGTTAATCACTACACTACATTCAATTCTGCTGTACAAGTTTCTACTGAGTAATTACTGTACACCTAGTTCTGTGCTAAGGACAAAATGAGGGATAGGGATGGGTATAATGAAGAACAAAGTATGATCATAAAGTAATGAGACTTTCACTTTTTAAAAACATACATCCCTGGACCTAGGGCCCTACCAGTGCTTCAAATATTTAAATGGCATTATTGACATAGGATTTACATACCATAAACTTCAGCCATTTAAAGCACACAATTCAATAGTTTTTAGTATATTTGCAGACTTGTGTAAACATCATCATGATGTAATTTTAGAAAATTTCATCATTTTCAAAAGGTACCTTGTACTTGTTAGCAATAACTCTCTATTTTTCCTGTTTTCTAAACCATCTCTAAGAAAGCACTTAAAAGTTTCTGATCACTGAAGGATCAAAACCAAATTCTCTAGTTGTGCACAGGTCCTTCACCATCCAGTACCATCTGGCTCCTATTAACCAGTGTTAGTATTCTTCAGTATTCTTCTTCTCTCTCTCTGTACTACCTTGAGTTTACATGCCATCACTATCCAACGCATAGGTCTTCATATAGACTTTCCAATTCCCCTTCCCATCTAACTCATGAATTCATAATTATCATTTAAATATAATCTTAAAACACTCTCCCTTTTGAAGTCTTCTCTGATCCCTATAATGAGAATCACATGCTTTTCCTGGAGGCCACGAAATTTGGCTTTTCATCTCTAACTTCAGTGCCTAGAACAGTGGCTGCCACTCAACAAATATTTGTCTATTAAATGCATTAGAATAAGAAATTATGGGGCTGGGGTTGTGGCTCATTGGTAGAGCACTTGCCAGGCATGTGTGAGGCACTGGGTTCCATCCTCAGCACCACATATAAACAAATAAAACAAAGGCATTGTGTCCATCTACTGTAAAATGTTTTTAAAAAAGCAATTATGTAGGGGCTGGGATTGTGGCTGAGCAGTAGAGCGCTCGTGTAGTACATGTGAGGCCCTAGGTTTGATCCTCAGCACCACATAAAAATAAATACAATAAAGGTATTGTGTCCAACTACAACTAAAAAATAAATATTTTTTTAAAAAAGCAATTATGTATTTGAATGCTGTGCTGTGTCTATAAATGATGCCTCATGCAAATTTAGACAATATCTATTCTCTTGGGCCAATGGACAGCTTGATTCATATCTAATCATATTCAGAAAAAAATTAGTAAAGTGTTTCACTCATGGACTATTCATCAGATTGTTGAGGTGGTTCTTGCTTTTTTTTTTTTTTTTGGTAAAGGAAGTCCATGTTTACATGAGGTTAAATAACACTTAGGCAATATGAGTTGATATAACTTTTTTTCTAGTAATTCCAATCTCAATCAGTGCTACTGTCAATTCACCCACTCTATAGCCTGGTCAGAAATATGATCATCTTTGATTCATCCTTTACCTCACTGGCTCATTCAGTTTCCTACCAAGTTGGAATCTCTTTACTTCCTAGACATCTCTTCTACCTGTCCCTTGTTTATTTCTGCTTCTTTACTTGGGCTCTCAACAACTTTTTCTTTGCTTTGTAATTTTTTCTATAGAAAAAAATGAACATTTATTAACCTTATTCATTATATATGTGAATCCTAATTCTCTATTTGATTCTCATCATCGTTTGCCTGAGTTATTCCAGCAGCCTCCTAAATGGACTTCCTGTTTCCACTCTCTGCATATTTCAGATCAGAGTCCACACCTCTCCGGTGATGCTGGAAGTAGATACCTGATCAAAACATGTGATTCTCTGTGGTTCAGGATACCAGGATGATTCCCTATCATCTACAGGGTAAGGCCTAAAGTTTTTGGCATTGAGTACAAGGTTTCTCATGATTCCACTCTAATTCTCCCCATCACATCTTTTACCACTAGAATCTTCTCATCTAATCAAAACAAACTTAACTGCAGATCAAGATTAGCTTCTGCTTAACAGCTTAGATGCCTCTTCTGTAACCCCAACAAAACCCTCCACTACTGAATCTTTGTTCAATTAACACTGAATACATTAGAGTCCTAGGCATATGATGTCAAGTCTTTATCTGGAATGTCCTTCCCATTTTTCTTCAGGATAGGCTTCTATTCATGCCTTAATACTCAGATGTTTCCTCTTTGAGGAAGTTATCCCTGATCCCTTTGAATAAAGTCAGTAACTTACCCTCTCTGTGCTACTACTGTATTTTTCCTCTCTCACTCTTTAGTTTTTCCTTTTTTCCCCCTCTCCTTTTTGGATCATTTTATCCATCTGTTTGCTATCCCCTTTGACACAGTTTCTTAAAGACAGGAGTCATGTCGTATCACCTCTGTATCCATAGTGCCTTCTTCCTCAATGCTGTTTATAAAATATATCAAATATTCAGTGAATATTTATTTAATTGAACTCAATTAAAATTAGGCATTATCTTTTATAAATGCCTCATAGTTTAATATGGGATAAAGAATATATGTTACATGAGCTGTCTCTATAGAATACCACCCACTTAGCAATTTCTGAGTTGCTATTTTATTTTTCAAGTTGTCTGAAGATTTCCACATCACTAAAAGCCATATTTTTCAAGTCAGTTATTAATGGGTAAGTGCCTGACCCTTTTTTTCCCTAATGAAACGATGATTTTAAAGTCAGTTGAAACCATAGTTTTACTAAGTAGTTTATAGTTTTCTAAGAAAGTTTTACTATTAAGTTGCTGAGCAGACTCTTTTCCATAGACTGATCAAAAGCAAAATAAGCTTCAGCCCAAGCCACTTTCTGAATTATGACCAATTCTTATTGGCGGGGTTCAGTTAATGAGACTCCATGGTAGTAAATTATTCAACTTTTATTTCCATGGTATGTAGGTTAAAAAAATCTGGAAATAAATCCTTTCATGAGGATTACCAAAAGACAACAATTTTCCTGAGATTCTGCTTCTGAATTTAACTACTGTTCAAATAAAATGGCGTCCCCTCACCCATTACCCTTCACAGGAGAGTGTGTGCTGCCATCTACTGATGTTAGGCAAGGGTATTGAAGGTCTTGTTTACAATCCTAAGTCTCAAATACAATAAAGCAAAAGAAAAACATTGTGATACAATATTTAAAAGGTGAAAAAAATCAGCAAACCAAAATTCAGAGAAAAAAAATGATAGCAACATCAGAACAATTTTCTACCAAAGCAATTCCCTAAACAGAAACCAAACCATTCACTTTCAAGTACAAGGTTTTACAAAATCAGTAAATGCTAGTATTTGGAAAAGAGCTCTCACATTGTGGTTTCACTGGCAGAAAACCCATCAATGCATTCTCTGACATATTAAGCTAATCTGAACTCCTACCATTAAAACATATTCTCTTTGACATAATAAAGGTTTTGACTCCTGAGAAAAAGCAAAATAGTTTCATAAATTACTATCAGTTCTATCTGAGGATGGCTTAGGAAAGTGAGTTTTGAGTGGGGAATACTGGGGTAGGGGAAGGAAAAGAGGAATAGGTGATTGTAGGACCCTGGAGGAAAGAGGATAAAGACATATTTCCAGCATTGCTTGTTTTGCTGAATGTGCCTTTTTGGAATTTTTAACTAAAATGTAGGACTTTCTTTATTTTCCAACAGATCCAGACAGACCACAATGAACAAGCCAGACTCAGGCGATCTGTCTGTGTAAAACTGAAAGATGATCTGTTCATTTCAGGACTTAATGATCCCTTGGTTTGGCCCCCACAATCAGTATCTGCATGGAAGATGAATAGCCTAGTGGCTCTGTGGTTTGGACTGCCTGCCTCCTAGCAATCAGCTCCCTGAGGCTAAAGGTGAGGATGATTAAATAGAGGCTTCCTTTTCCTCCTGTTAATGTTTGTGGGGTCCACTCTGGAGTGGGTTGTAGGCCATCCTTTTCCTTCTCTGTCTCCCTTTACCCGCTCCTTTGTCTCTCAGCATAGGCTCTTCTACTCCTTCCCCAAACTCTAATGATACCCCCAATTCCAAGGTCCTCAATCACTTTTGTATAGAGACAATGCATTTGAAATTATTTTTACTTTAATTCTGTCCTACTTCAAGTACTGAAAAATATGGTGACTCTCACTTTGTGAAAATAGCATAGTAGTCATTTTTATGCTATTGTTTATTTTTTTAGATGTCTTACGTATTTTAACTCATTTAGTCTTCACCCATTACATTCTTAATATGATCTCCAGTTTTTCAGATGAAGAAACTGAAGTTCAGAGAGGTTAAGTGCTTTTGCCAGTGTCACACAGCTAGTCTGTGTCAATGATTCGACCCCAGCTGCCAGGGCTTTAGCTCAGTGATAAAGCACTTGCTTAGCAAGAGCAAGGCCCTGGGTTACATCCCCAGCACATACACTAAAAAAATTGTGTATTTCATTGTGTTATATTATTAAGGCTTCATATTCATGTAAGAAAAAACAGTACCTACCAGTTTTTTGAATAACTAACTACTATGTGCCACATACATTTGCTGAGGTTATTTCATGAATCATTCTCATTCAATTATCACAGTGGTATAAGGCTAATACTCTTTACTGCTACTATCCCACGTGATGAAGAAAAGAAAGGTCCACAAAAGTTAAATAACTGGATCAAAGTGATAGAGCTGGTAACAGTGGGTCTGCAACTTGTTTTTTTTTTTTAATTTATTTTTAGTTGTAGTTGCACACAATACCTTTGTTTTATTCATTTTTATGTGGTGCTGAGGATAGAATCAAGGGCCTTGCACATGCTAGGCAAGTGCTTTACCACAGAGCCACAACTCCAGCCCCATGGGTCTGCGATTTGAATCAGGGTGTTTCTCACTTCAATGCCTGTCCACAACCAGAGGCTGAACTCTCTAAAATCCACCACATAGACAGACTTCTTAAATCTAGTTATGATTCTTAACTTCATTTGGCAGATAAGAAATGAAGCTCACTGGGCAAAATGACTTGTCTAAGGTTACCAAGTGTGAGTGTGTTAGTGACAAAGGGCACAGGGAGGGTGATAGCAAAGCAAGGCCGAGACTGTGACATATCTTTCAGCCTGGATCTACTAATTAAGAAACACTCCTCCATTTCTCTACCAGTTCTCCCTGTCAAGATGTGTAGGTATAGCATGAACAGTCACAGATGACCCACTGGCTATAGGAAAAGAGATTTTGAGCCCAAGAATAAAGTCCAATACAGGAAAAAACACTCAATTCTTAATAAAAATGTTACCAAAGGTAGCTTTTCCCTCTTCATGCTGTTGCTTAGTGCAGAAGTGAAGAAACAAGAAATCATACAGGCCACATTTCCAGCACATTTATAGTTTGCAAGAAAACCAAGAGTTTATCCCAGTAAAATAATGTCTGTCAGCTAACTTAAAAAACATTTAAATGGGGGCTGGGATTGTGGCTCAGTGGTAGAGCGCTTGCCTAGCACGTGTGAGGCCCGGGGTTTGATCCTCAGTACCACATAAAAATAAATAAAAATATAAAGGAATTGTGTCCAGCTATAACTAAAAAATAAATATTTAAAAAACACAACAACAACAAACATTCAAATGGGGCTGGGGTTTTAGCTCAGTGGTAGAGTGCTCACCCAGCACATGTGAGGCACTGGGTTTGATCCACATAAAAATAAATAAAAATATAAAGGAATTGTGTCCAGCTATAACTAAAAAATAAATATTTAAAAAACACAACAACAACAACAAAAAAACATTCAAATGGGGCTGGGGTTGTAGCTCAGTGGTAGAGTGCTCACCCAGCACATGTGAGGCACTGGGTTCGATCCTCAGCACCACATAAAAATACATAAGTGAAATAAAAGTATTGTGTCACCTATAACTGAAAAATATTTTAAAAAAATCTTAAAAGGTACAAATGCATTTTCATTACAATCCATCTAATGAGATTTGAAACAGATACTAAATACCAGTCTGTTTAAGTAAAGCAAGGCTGAAAGATGTTTAAGATCTGATTTAATCTCACAGGTCACATCTATGTGTACAGAACAAAGAAAGAAATTAAGGAAATAGTGTAAGTAATTGAACTTAAATTATCCAGGAATTCTTTCATTTCTTCCTTCCATTTTACACAAGAGTTGGGATATGCAAAGCAAAGTGGGTAATGGGAAGAGTGTAAGCTTTGAATGCATATAGATAAGAGGTAAAAATCTAGTTCTGTCCTTCATTACTGTAATTTGGTGACTTTGTCACTTAAGCCTTTTCAAGCTTACTTCAGTAATCTATAAAATGAGGACATTCAAATCTACCTCAAGAGATTATGGAGAAAATTAACCCTGATAATGTATGTAAAGTGGGCAGTACAGAAAGTGCCCAGTAAATGAGAATGATTATGGTTGTAATAATAAATGGTCGGTACTGGTGCTAGAAGAATATTTAATCACATAGAGTAAAGTCAGTTTGCTAAAGTCCCACAATTCCAATTGTGAGTGCTCATTAACAACTACAAAGCCAATCTTTGCCTTTCCAAAATACCTCTAGTTCAAAATGTCTCAACTTCAGAACTGATGACATTTGGAGATGAATAATACTTTGTTGTGAAGGGAAATGGAGGGGAAGTATCCTGTGCATTGCAAGATGTTTAGAAACACTGCTTGCCTCTGTCCACTAGATGCCAGCAGCACTCTCTGAATTGTGACAACACTGTATCCAAACTTAATAAAATGTCCCCAATAGAGTAAAATGGTCCTGACCACCACCTCCTCAGAGCCTCCTTGTGGCCTTCAGCTGGAATTGCTCTCTTCCTTTTCTCTGTTCCTTTTTAAATTAAAACAATTGCCTGAAAAGAGATTACATCTTATTCTTTGATTGTACCATGCTACTAAATCTTATCTTTCAAAAATAATGTAAGTTTCTTGGTGACAGGACATTATCTTTCCATTGTGTCCTGCAACTTTTTTGTTTGTTTGTTTGGTATTTGGGATTGAACTCAGGGGCACTCAACCACTGAACCACATCCCCAGCCCTATCTTGTATTTTATTTAGAGACAGGGGCTCACTGATTTTATATGAGTTTAATAAGTATGATGCATAGACCTTTGACTCTTTGAAGAACACCTAAATTTTTATCTTCTTGACCCAGAACTGAGTAGAATGTGAGTGTTTTGAAAAACTGGGGTAAAACGTGTATATGCATGGGCTGGGTTGTAGCTCAGTGTTAGAGCACTTGCATAGCATGTATGAGGCGCTGGGTTTGATTCTCAAAACCAAATAAAAATAAATAAATGAAATAACGGTCCATTAACAACTAAAAATAATAATAATAAAGTATATTTTTAAAAAAATGCATGTGCACAAGCATGTACACAGTAATGACATTGTGGAAGGAGACTATAAGCATTTGCTTGCTCTGCCCCCAATACCAAATAGAAATAATACTAAATTAAGGGAAAAGGCTGCTTTATTTGTGGTAAGTTGCAATTAGCTATGATGGGCTCTGAGGTTGATTTTTCTATTGTGATTGATCAGTTGGAATGCTTGGAGAAATCATAAGACTATTATATCCCTTTTGATGGTTTAATTTCTTTTTGTATGGGGGGAGACTAGGGATTAAACCCAGAGATATTCTACCCCTGAGGTACATCCCTAGCCCTTTTTTATAGTTTTTTTAAGTTGTTGATAGAGCTTTATTTTATTTATTTGTTTTACCCAGTGCCTTACACATGCTAAGCAAGTGCTCTATCACTGAACCACAACCCCAGCCCTCCATAGCCCTTTTTTATTTTGAGACAATATCCTGCTAAAATGCCTAGGCTGGCCTCAAACTTGTTATCCTCCTACTTCAGCCTTCTGAGTCACTGGGATTACAGGTGTGCACAACTGTGCCTGGATTTGTGGGGTAATCATAAGACAAAATCTCTTATGTGATTTGTTTTGTCATGCTGTTACCCTGACATGTTTTTCAAGTAAAAATATTTTGTTACTGTTAAGTTAGGAGAGTGAGTCACAAACCTTTCATCTCATGACTGTGGGTATCCTGGAGTTCATACAAGCAGATACAAACTTCCAAAAGATCAATCCTCCTTCTAAATAGATTAGTAGAAAGTTTCTCTTGAAGAAAGTAATGATGGGAAAAAAATAAACAAACTCACTTAGCTTCTCTAGGATCTCCTCATCTGTCATCTTTGATTTTTTCCTTTGCCGATCTGTATTCCTGTACAAAGTACTAGAGTTGGCATTCTCCGCAGAAGGTGGTGTGACTTCTTTATTTGGTGCTGCTGGTGAAGCAATAGATTCAACCACAGAACGAGTATAGATCTATGAAACAAAATAATACAAAGTTCTATAATTAAAACATAGGCCATGGAATAACTATGATATTGAGACAGTCATCTCATTTAAACATAATTGTTTAAAGAGTTTTTAGTTTCCTTAATAAGACTTAGAAACTGCAAGAAATAAAATAAAAGTTCAGTAAGTGAGATGGCATCAAATTAAAAAGCTTCTGCACAGCAAAGATAATGATTAGGAGCATGAAGAGAGAGCCTACAGAATGGGAGATCTTTGCCACCTGCTCCTCAGATAGAGCATTAATGTCTGCAATATAAAAAGAACTCAGAAACATATAAAATATAATATAATTAATGTCTGCAATATAAAAAGAACACATTAATGTCTGCAATATAAAAAGAACACACAAAATAATTAAACACTTTTGTAAAGAAGAAACACAAATGGCCAATAAATATATGAAAAAAAAAATTCAACATCTCTAGCAATCAGGGAAATGTAAATCAAAACTACACTGAGATTTCATTTCACTACCATCAGAATATAAATAATAATAAACATTGGCGAAGAGGTGGGGAAAAGGGTACACTCATACACTGTCAGTGGGCCTGTAAATTAGTGCAAATACTCCATAAATCAATATGGAGATTCTTCAAAAAACTAGGTATTGAACTACCATATGACCCAGGTATTCCACTCCTAGCCCATTCTTTGTCCAAAAGATCAAAAATCATCCTATTACAGTGGCACAGCCACATCAATGTTTATAACAGCACAATTCACAACAGCCAAGCTATGGAACCAACCAAAGTGCCCTTTAACAAACGAATGAAAAAATAAAATGTGGTATATATACACAATGGAGTATTACTCAGCCATAAAGAAGAATGAAATTATGGCATTGCTGCCAAAGGGTATAACTGGAGGTCGACATACTAAGTGAAATAATCCAGACACAGAAAGTGAAAGGTCAAATGATTTCTCTGACATGCGGAAGCTAGACCAAAATAAGGAAAAAACAGAAAAGTGGTAGGGAAAAGGGAATTCTGTCAAAATAGAAGTAAGATCAGGGGAGGGAGAAGAGACAAGATAAGGAAAGACAGTGGAATGAATCTGATCGAAATTTCCTATGTAATCACGTGAATACACCACAGTGAATCTCACCTTTATTTATATCCACAAGGCACTAATTAAAAAAAAAAAAAAACTATAAGTAAACTGAATTAGAACAAATTATATTCCATGATTTTATAATTAAAAATGAATTATAATGTTATATGTAACTAAAAAAAAACTAATCAAAAATAGCATCAGGGCTGGGGCTGGGGCTCAGTGGTGGAGCACTTGCCTAGCAAGCATGAAGCCCTGGTTTCAATCCTCAGCACCATGTGAAAATAAATAAATAAAATAAAGGTATTATGTCCACCTACATCTAAAAAAATAAATATTTTTTTAAAAAAAACACAGCATCATATCTGATACTCAAGTTCTGTGAATATAAGATATGCTACTTAGGTTACTGGTTGATTAATTGTATTCTAAGTCTATGTTCCACAGGTCATCTTCTGAACCATGTAGAAATAATCACTTGTAACTTACTGATTTTGTATGCTCTGGTCTTGGTGCGATAACTGGTGGGGGCTCATTGTCATCTTCTTCTTCCTCCTCTTCTTCATCTTCTTCTTCAGATACAGGAGGAGCTAAAGGAGGCTCAGATGCTGTTTTTGTACTCTTAGAGAAAAAAATTTAAGTATCAGGTATTAATTCTCATTGTTTTTCGTCAGAAATGAGAAAACAGAAATGAATATTTAAGCATGTAGGGATAGGAAGGAGCTATGTATTTTACAAATGAGAAGAACCATTTATAATCTGGTGTGCAAGATGTGCTCACATTCAGAGATCAATTTGTTTCACGATGGAATGAACCATTTTTTGTTTTCCACGGAGCTCAAAAACAGTGAACTATTTATTACTTTAGTATTTTAAAGTTAAATGTTTTTGAATCCAATGAGTACTTAAAAATCAAACTGCCATTAAAGCCTCAAATCTGTACTGGATACATTGTCAATTTGTTGACTGATGGTTTGTCAATTTGAGAAGGGCAGAGCATGCATATGGATATTGTATTAATACAGCTCTGCAAATACTCACTAAAAATAAGGAAGCCAGTAAATGTTTCTTCCTTGTTCAGCCTCCTGAAAAGAAGCACTCAGACAGTAATAGAAATGACGATCTAATCACCTATCCACATAAATAATTGTTTGATATTAACCAATAGGTTAATGTTGATTTACAATAACTAATAAATTATAATAATATCACCAACAATATCAACCACCACCACAATACCTAGGATCATTCATGTTAACACAGGGGCAGAATGGCTGCAAAGTCTATTTTAAAAAAACTAAGGTTATGGTTCTCAAAGTATGGTTCCCAAGTCAACATCATCAAGCAACTTGTTAGAAATGCAAATTATTGGGCTCTTTGCACTTCGGAATCAGAAACTCTGCAAGTGTGGCCCAACAATATGTGTTATAACAAGCTTTACTTGTTATTCTGATGCATTGTCCAATATAGGAACTACCAGCCACATATGGTTATTGAACATTAAAATGCAGGTAGACTGAACTGTGTTCTAAGTGTAAATTACATTCCAGGTGTTATATACTTAATGTGAAATAATTTGTTTGTTTGTTTGTTTTGGTACTGGGGATTGAACTCAGGGGCACTCAACCACTGAGATATATCCCATCCCTATTTTGTATTTTATTTAGAGACAGGGTCTCACTGAGTTGCTTAGTGCCTCGCAGTTGCTGAGGCTGGCTTTGAACTTGTGATACTCCTGCCTCAGCCTCCCAAGACACTGAGATTACAGGCGAGAACCACCACTCCCAGTCACATGAGATAATTTTAAAAAATGTTTCATTGATACGTATATATTGATGTATTAAAATATTAATTTAATATATTGGATTAAATTAAATATATTATTAAAATTAGTTCAACTATTTCTTTTTTACTTTTCTGAAGTGATTGAAAATTTAAGGTGAATTTAAATTTATGGTTTGTATTTCTGCTGAACAGCTTTATTATAGCTGCTTTGTATTTTTTGTTTTTGTTTTTATGAATTTACTAGTTTATTGTTTACATTACTGGGTATATTGCCCACAGTCATTCTACAATGAATTTTTATTCCTTGAATTCAAAGATCCTGGGGCAGTTATAGGTATACTATAAAGACTATTAGGTCAAAGGACCTCAGTCTGTGATTAAAAATTCAATATGGATTTTCTACAGCAATGTAAATACCTACAGTAGAGTCATAAGGTATAACACATATCTGATAGGAGCTAGCAATATTTATATATTTTGAGAAATAAGGCACCCTAGAATTGATAAACATGTGAAAGAATATTTCCCTGATATAGATGTTAATGATATAGATGATATAGATGATTTATAGATTGAAGTTCATGTGTATTAGACATTGGTTTTCTTATTTATCCACCTGTATTTATTATTAACTTAATCATAATAACTGGGCTATGGTATCATATTATGGCTATAGCAATAGTAACAAATGTTAACAACACCAAGATACCAGCTTTAAAAAAATCACTTTCTTCTTATGAAACACTATCTGTTCAGGGCAATTCAGTTAGGTGCAGGAAGAAATTACCTTTGGATTATTGTATTTGTTTTGATATTTTTTCTTTCTGGAAAGGTGCTCTGTCTTATGATTATTGGAATCAAGAATGTACCTAATGAGGGGCTGGGGTTGTGGCTCAGTAGTAGAATGCTTGCCTGGTATGTGTGAGGCCCTGGTTTTGATCCTTGGCACCACATATAGATAAACAAATAAAGTAAAAAAATCCACTGGCAACTAAAAAATATTTTGTTTTAAAAAAAAAGAATATACCTAATGACAGAATGTTCATATAAATGAAGTAGATTTTTTATAATGTGAAAAATGCTGCTATTTTATCAGTTAGGCAGTATAAACCAAACTTGGGTATAACAAGCTTTATGCCAGCCTATGAAGATGTTTCAGATTAGAAAAAAATCATCAGTTCTAAAAGGACACTATAAAACTATCAAGTAAATTAATCAATCTATAATCAAATGTCTATTGAGTATAATAATACCTCAACATAACCAATTACTTAAATTTAGCATTTACAGAAATTTCATTACATTGAAAACAAATTGTAGGTTAGATTTTCTTATTTAGCAACAATTCTTATGTACTCACAAAGATTTGCCAAGAAATTATACATAATCATACATTAAATGTTACTTATAACCAAATCATTTCAAAAATCAATATTTTTAAAAACCATTTCAAAAATTTACAGCAACAATATAAAGTGGAGTATAGGAGTTCTTTAATATGGCCTCCAAAAGAACACTTATAAAAATTCTTACTAGGATCAAAGAATGACCCTGCTGGCAAATATTATAACCCAAGGTCTAGTCTTCTTGGTCCAATTCTTAGACTGTTGCAAAAACCAATTAGTGCATAATGGCCAAGTAGCTACCTTTCATATTTCAAGTTTCTTTACCATCGGGGACAAGAACCCTAAACTCTACTTGCTTCCCTGACATTCCCTGTCTAGACACTGCTAAGATTCTGTATGTGGTGGTCATTTTTGCTGCTGTAAGTTTAACAAACTTATTTGTTTAACAAGTTTTTGTAGTAGGTTTTTTTTTTTTTTTTTTTTTTTGTATGTGGGGCCTTGTGCATGTGAGGCAAGCACTCTACGAACTGATCTATATCCCCAGGCCTGTAGTACTCGTTTTTGTAGTGTTTCCATATTCTTCCAGGCAGAGAATTACTATGTCTAAAATTTAAAATTGTAAAAATGTAGATTAAAAAAGTATGACATATTTTTGTCTTATCAAAATTAGAGAGGGTCAAAAATATCATGATGCACACATTGGGACATGGGAGGCACTTATTGACCTTTGTTGGGACAAGGACTCAACATTCTGAAAGATTTGGCTCATATCTCCAGAAAAATGCAGGTAGAGACTTTTTTAAACATATACTTTCAACAGTTCATAGAGCTTGTGAAACCATCCCTGAACTCCTTATGAACCCTGATCCAGAGAATGCACCAGCTAGAGGAAATGTTTTAGGAAACTATCTTTTCTTTGATATTAATATCTAAAGGCCAAAGGAATTGGAAGAAGGATTTTGGATACTTAGATGATAGAAAATATAGTTTGAGGGTCCTTGTTGGTATTTGTTTAAAATTCAGAATTCATAATTTCAATGCAGATCTATTTTTGGAACAGACTCCTGGAATCTGCACCTTAACAGACGTCCCTCGCAATTCTGATGCACACTGAAGGAAAAAAAAAAAATAACTAGTATATAAACAAACCAGTACTGCAAATCAAAAAAAGAGCAATCTGTCAACTACACATTCAGTTTCTTTAGCAAATGATGGCATATTCATATTAATTGTTTTTAACTTAAATTGGAATAATAGCTCAGGATCCTAAATATAATCAATTCATTTTAATAGCACAATCAAAATATAAAATTTAAAATTGGCTTCAAATTGAAGAGTAGGTCACTGAATAGAATTTGGAATTTAATATACTAATATTAAAGAAACTATATAATAAGTGAGAAGTAAAACAGGCATCTGTTTAAAATATTTAGAAAATACAACATTGCTTCTATTTTAATTTTTATCCAGACTATTAAAGGATGCCAAAACTTGTGATCAGTTCAGGCTGTGCCTATACCGAGTAGTCAGGATCATTAAATTAGATTTTGTACGATAATCTCAATATCTTCCAATAGAAATCTGAATCTCCTGAAAGATAATATGCTTATATTTTAATTCACTCACATATCTTTTTTTTATATATGGATTGAACTGGGGGCAGTCAACCACTGAGCCATATCCCCAGCCCTTTTTATATTTTATTTACAGACAGGGTCTCACTAAGTTGCTTAGGGCCTCACTAAGTTGCTGAGGCTGAGCAGGATATGGCAGCGCATGCCCATATGCCCAGGAGCTCAGGAGGCTGAGGCAGGTGGATCACAAGTTCAAAGCCAGCCTCAGCAACAGCAAGGCACTAAGCAACTCAGTGAGACCCTGTCTTTAAATAAAATACAAAATAGGGCTGGGGATGTGGCTCAGTGGCCGATTGCCCCTGAGTTCAATACCCGGTAGCGCAAAAAAAAAAAAAAAAAAGGTAAAAATAAGTTGCTGAGTAAGGGTTTGAACTCGTGATCTTCCTGCCTTAGCCTACCAAGCCACACTCACATATCATTTTAAGCGTACAGCCATATTTGATCTCATCCTTTCCTCTAACATACAATCAGTAATAAAAACATCTCTAGAATTTGAATCTAATTTTCAGTCCTATTGTCACTGTCTCATATCAGGGCTCTGGTTCAGTTGTATACAGTATTTTCCCCACTAGTCTCTCTTCATTTGGTCTCGCCTTCTGTTCTCAATTAATTCTGGACATTTGCTGTTAGATTACACTTCCCAAAGCATAACCTTTGATCACTTCACTGTCTGGCTTCAAAACACTTCAAGGGCTTCCCAAAGCATACTGGAAAAGTCAGATTCCTAAAAATACCATTTAAGGGTCTCTGATTTTAGCCCCATGTTTTCTTTCACAGTTTCACTCCTGTGTTACCTTTTCTTGTATCCAGACTTTATTCAAACCTATGACTTTTGTTTCCGTGCTCTCCTCACCATCGTGCACTTTCCTCAAACTTTTCCTTTTGCTTAGAATGTCCTTCCCCATTTTCACAAATCCAAATCTCATCCTGTCTAAAATAAGGTCTAGCTCCAATCCCAATTTTTATATGATTCATTTTCTAATTCAGCATTCAAAAACTATATAGCAAGTGCTTGTTAGGTACTAAGCAATGAGTTTAACCTCTCAGAGACAAGTGCCTACTTCCTTTCCATCCCCATCTTAAAATAATCTCTTTTCTCTGCATTTTCATAGCAAATTGATATATTCCATGGCATATTAATAGACACATTTGATACTATATATTTAATGAACATACTTAATGCTATCCATATTATATTATGCTTCTTTATGTTCACACTTATTTACTGTACCACACTGAACTCCATACTTCTAAACTTATGCTAAATAAGAAAACATCTAGCTGCTTTATATCCAAAAAACAAATCCACTTTTTTTCTGATTTAATGGAATATTTGTCCATGATATAGACTTAATTCTATATGCAAAACCAACAGAAGCGATCTCAAAAGAAACAGTATATATTTCAGGGGAAAATAAAAACCAGTACACAGATTATCCTAGCAGGTTGGTGTTTAAAATAACTGACCTAAAAACAATACCTAGGCCTGGGATTATAGCTCAGTGGTATAGTGCTTGCCAAGCACATGTGAGGCACTAGGTTTCATCGTCAGCAACACATAAAAATATATAAAAATAAAGGTATTATGTCCATCTGTAATTTAAAAAAAATTAAAAGAACCAATATCTAGTTCTTGGCCAGGATTGCACAAGTATGATACTAATTAAATTAAAGGAGGTAAAGTCTGTGTTGATAGGGGATGTTAACATTCTTTCTTACTTTCCTAAGCTCTCATGGCAAAGAAGAAAGAAGAGAGAGAAATAGCTAGTTGGATAGGGAGAACAACAATCTGTTGTTTTTTCGATCATATGGTAATTCTTTTTTTTAATTTTTGAGAACCTGCCATACTATTTGTTGTGCTCTGGAGATGAAGTATCCTTCAAAAACTTATGTGTGAGATGGTGTAAGAATTCTCAGGTGACATGATAAGATTATGAGAGGTGTAACCTAATTAGTGGTAAATCCACTGATATGGATTAAGTGTAGTCAGGTAGAGTATAGCTGGAGGAACTAGGTCAATGGGGCTGTGCCTTTGGCATTCATAATTTGTCATTGGGGAGCTTGAGTTCTCTCTCTGCTTTCTGGTTGCCATTCTAAGCTGCTTTCTTCCACCATGGCCTTCTGCCATTGATGTTCTGTCTCAGCTTGGGTCCAGAGCTAGGAAGTGAGCAAACCATGAACTAAACCTCTAAAACAGTGAGCCAAAAGGAACTGTTCCCTCTAATTTTTCTGTCAGGTCTTTTAGTCACAGTGATAAAATGCTAACTAAAACTTTTAAAGGCTAACTAAGCCATTATTCTTCACCACTTATGATCTACTATTGTCACATCCACCCAGGGTGATTTCAAGCAGGCCAACAGTTTTCTTCTACAAAAAGGGAAAAATCAGCCTGGCAATCCATGACTCTTTGGATAAAAAATAGGGGACTTTTGCTAATGTCAATTATTTTACCCCTGAAGAAGCATGTATGTCAGGAAATAGTTTCAATCAGTGTATTAGAATGAAAATTCATAGAAAAGGAAACTTTGCCTAAGATCATTTCCTCTTTAATGTATGTGAATATTATTTCAGATACTATAGCACTTCCAAGAACTAGGTTACATTTATTCCAGTTGGTTTTCCAATACACCTACATGACTTTGGGCAAAGTCACCTCCTACAATGTGCCTCAGTCTGCTGAAATAAATTACACTAAAATGTTGTGTTGTGACCTTAGACAAGTTATTTCTATCCTCAGTTCCCTCATCTATAAAGTAAATCTTAGTTGAGTTGTAGGAAAGATGAAGCAAGTATAAAATATTAACCCACATTGTACATTTTAAGTGTTCAATAAAAAGAAGTTGTTATTAATATGGTTTTTATTTTTAAGATTCTATACATAGAGAAAGAAAAACATTTGTCCATGTAAAGACAAATGAACATGAATTTTCACAGTATCTTTATATGTAATAGCCTCAAACTGGAAATAATCTGGAAAGTCTTCAGTGGGTGAGTGACTAAACAAATAATGTCATAATTATACCATGGAATACTACTACTCAGCAATAAAAGGAACAATCTAGTGATACACAAACTAGTGGCTGAGGATTAATTGTGATCAGTCATGAGAGATTTTACTGGGGCATTCTAAGACTTGATTGTGGTGATGGCAGTACAGGTGTATAAATTTACTAAAACTCGTTGTATCCTTAAAATCAGGGAAATTTTATAAATGTAAGTTATACCCTTAAAAACTGTTTTGTGAAGATTTTATATCTAAAAACTGGATTATGCGATTATATTCTATTGGATCTTAGGGAACCCTGATTATAACAAATAGTCTTTAATTTTTCACTTACCGAAGGATGTGCTGCTATGTATCCATGTGCACTTTTATCTGAAAAGTGAGAAACAAAAAGTTACCTTTATTTCATGAAGACGACCTCATTTAGAAAAATAGAAAAAAAAATATCTTTGAGCAGAAGGTAATTCTTCAATTTAGTATTAAATATCATTATGACAAATGATACCTTTTTTAAAAAAATAACTCACACGATTACAACCTCACCATGTTCTCACCAAGTCATTTTACAACCTATAGTAAAAGCTCCCAGGTCTTCAGTGTACCTCATCTATAAGGAGGAATATCAAGATTACCTATTCCTAACTGTTATGATTCTATACATCAATATCCATGATTTATTTTCTTTCCTCTCTTCCTTCTGTCCTCCCTTAAAAATTCCCATCTTCTCATCCTCTTCTCCAGTCAGTCAGTTTCCACACTAGAGCATTCAGAAAACATATGTTGAGGGTCTGAGGTTGTGGCTCAGAGGTAGAGCACTTGCCTAGAACGTGCAAGGCCCTGGGTTCAATCCTCAGCACCCCATAAAAATAAATGAATAAAATAAAGGTATTGTGTTCAACTACAACTAAAAAATAAATATTTTTTAAAAAAGAAAACATATATTGAATTTCACTCAGCTAAGTATAATGCAGGAACTCTGATACTATTGAGTTTTGCCATAGTGCCCAGGAGTTCATATTTTTAAGTTAAAATAATTCAGCATCTAGAAATAAGGTGCTAAACAGCAGTGACTACTTGGAGTAAAAAACAAACTCTGAGAAACTGAAGGGTATTAATGGTTATACTGAAATGATTTCTTGAATGCATTTTCAGTTCTGATAGCCTATTGGAGGCCCATTCCTATTGTCTAAGCATTAAACACTGTTGATGTATCAACAGACTCTCTCAGGCATTTCATTCCACATGGTACACTAAAATATCATAAAAATGTTTCCTTAATGGTTTTCTTTTTAGAAAAAAAAATTTAGGTTTTTAACATTGGATGGTAGTTAAATAATCCTCTCATATCAAAAAGTCCCACTTAGTGTATGAATTGCCAAGTGCCTTCAAGTCTGAGCTTTGATATTTGACATGGCCAAATCAGACAATCCTCCACTTCCAAGTACATCCTTGTACTATTCCCAAAGAGATCTCAAGCCTGCCCTATATTAAATCCAATGACAAGCCACAGGAGGTCCTTATGGCTAGGATACTATTGATAGCATTCCCTTTATTCTTTGGATATTTAATTATACTAGAGAGATGATCCAGATCACTTTTCTCAAAATGTGAAAGTATTATTTGGGATTAGGTTTCTTTTGGTTGTTTATAGTGCACATTTGAACATCAAATTTCCAAACCAAGGCCGGGTCTACACACTAGCAAATTAAAGCACAATTTGGCAGTATGGCTATTTCAATCTTTTTAAATAATAAGAAGTAGTTCCTTTTTTCAGTCTGATATTGGGATCTGATCAAAGTAACCTGACAACCACAAAATTTATTCTGTGTCATCATGATATAAATCATTGAGTCTAAGGGGTACAATGCATTTCCATTGATTATGGTTCGATCCAAAACCTCTTACTTCATGAACCCATCACAAGGCCTGATCATAAGATACCGAGTATCTTCCTAAGAAGAATTGTGATTGCTAATTCAAGTTTACCATTACTGCTTCACTCAACAATTTCCCTACTTGGGTTCTGCAAAAACAGCCAATTAAAATAAATCTTCTAACATCAAGCCCAAATTCCAATTTGTCTTTTTGGTTTACTTATGGTGAATCCAGTCAGAGAAGGTACTGGAACTGACTTCAAAAGTTCTACAGACATTCTGTTCTAATCATGAGATTCTAAGACTAGAATGACTTTTTCACCTTTTGATGCACCAGAATTTCTCTTACCTCCTGATGTAAAACTCATGTATTTCTGGTTATTGACGGTTTCTTTGGAATCATAGAATTTGAGAACATCAAGAACGGCTTGTGGGTTCTTCTTTTGTTCCAGTTTTGTTATGTTGGAGGTTTGGAGTAATCTTGCCCATTGCTCAGGAATTCCCTGTGGACAACCAAAGGGAAAAAATGGCAGCTGAGAACATATGGCAGTGGCAATTTCATGTTCCAGTAAAGTTCTTCACCAAGAAGCCCATGCTACCTGTAGGATTACACTTGGGAAACTGAAGTTACATTCTAGATTTAACGTTAGTAACTTAATAATGCAATCATTCTCTTCTCTAATTAAAACACATAGGTAAAACTAGGATCCAACTTAAAAAGGGTGGGTGGGAGTATGACTGTGATAGAAAAAAAAAGCGCATGAAAATCACCTCCATATTGACTCTGCTCATCCATGAAATGATGTTTACAGCTTAGCTTATTTTGTTCTGGTGACTCAGGGCAGACATAGCAAGACTTCTCTAAATTTGTGCACAACATAGTATAGTGCAGATCAATGGGTTTTATATGACTGGAATAACATAAGCTATTTCTGTGCATGTTGCAATCAGAATATGCTTTAGAATAAAAGGAAAGCCTCACCCTTGGTCAGTTTACACTTTGTGATTACAAAATTCAATTTTTTGGGACTACAGCTTTAATATAAAGTCAAATTGGGAGGAGATCAAACTAGAATTGTGGAGGAGCAATGACCATTGAGATGCTAAATAGTAAACATTAATGCTGCTTTGGGGATTTTCCCTGCAGCTTTCTCCAGGGTATGCCTCCTCCTCTCCTCCCTCCCTCCCTTCCTCCCCACTTCATTTATTGGTCACATAGAACCTGGGGACTATGAAAACCATGCCAAAACCTTGTGAAAATTTACAATAATCTGAAGTATTTAGAGCAGAGAGGAGGGAGTATTTGAAAATCTTACCAAGGAGAATTGCAAAAAATTACAGAGAAGTTAGTTTTGCATTAAGCATCCAACATTCTTTCCTACATCTTCAGCCTACGTCCCCATTTCATAATTGTCCAAACTCCAAGAGCAACTTGGAGAGAGAAACAGACACACTATTCCTGAAGTGCATCCAGGCACAATTTATGTGGCTTTGTCCTATGAAGTCTCGGCAAAACAATGTGTGACGTGGGCCTCCAGAGTTTGGGAATGACAACAAAAAAGTGAGATAAGCCAAGCAACAACTCTACTGCACACACATGAACCTGCTGCTGCAGTGCTATGACATCTCAAAGAAGCACTTTGATGCAAGCTTCTTTTGGGCCTGTGACGCACCTCTGGGAGCTTCCCTGGGCACATCTGTGAGCCATAGAGATCTGGCTGTAATGGACGTAAATAAAGAAAGAAAAGAAAGTTAAAACAGAATGTGGGACAACTTAGAAGGTGGGAGGAGATGAAACCAATGGGTCTGAATGGGGGGTCCCTTTTAAAGTGGGGCGGTTATGAAAATAGGGAGGTATTAACTAAATCAGGGACAGGACAGGCTACAGGACAACAGATTTAAGAGAACAGAGAAAACGACAATGTTCCAAAGTTTGGAATTATAATTCCACTTTTGGCCAGGTGCTTACTTCATAAATAGGCAATAATAAGAATTACCATTAAATGATTGGAGAAATTACTAAAAGCAGAAACATGAATTTGGAGGGAAGAAGAATGGCATCATGAAAAGCTTTGACAATAATTTGTAAGTTGTTTTTATATAACTTGGTGATCACAGGTAGCCCAATGGCCATGTGATTAACTTACAAATTTCAATTCCCAATTCTGGTTAACCAATTTAAATTTCACATTGAAAGTGTCTCTCTGACTAAAATTCAGAGAATGGATATAAGGCAATGCTGAATTTTTGTTCTCATTGATGTAATTCTTCTATATTTTATTGCTAAAGTCATGGCTGGCTTACAGAAAACTAGGTAAAGGATGTTCCCACACAGCCAGACTCTATGTTTAAGATTCTTACACACTTGAGACTGGGGAAAGGGAAACAATTTCTTTTCAGACCATATATGAATAATTTACATTTTAATACTACAGTTCCAAATCCCACTTCCCAGAAAATAAGGTCTGATATAAGGTACAGCGTTGTCTAAATATATTCAAATGCTACAGAAACATGCTTTGACCCAACTGGTTTGATTTGGGATATATGTCCTTGATTCCTGGCATTTGGGGTTACTCCAAGCACAGTGAAACAACACTTTTACATGCATTCATCACGCAGTTTGATGCTAAAGCCTTAAGCCAAAAATTGGAACTCAGGAGCCCATGCATGATCCCAGTTCTGATTCTAAGTGCAATTAATAGCATTTGGTTAATACTGTAATGGCCAAAGGAGGTATTAAGTGTTACAAATCCAGGTATGCATTGCACATAACCACTAAAGCAGACTTCACTGGCATGATCATTACCATATTCATTAGAATATTTGCAGTTATTATACATCCCCAGGGTACTTCTAAACTTCTGTGATAATAGTCATGTGATCACTAGACAGCAGAAAAAAATGCTGTCAATTGCAGGAGATCTTCCAGACAACTATACTTACCACATAGCTACACTGATTATGTAATTTCTTTTTTCTAAGTTGAGGCAAACCAGTTTATCAATGAAACCTGACACTTAAATTTGAACGTATGCCACAGAGGCACATGAATCAGAAAGCCATCTCGTTACTCCAAATTGAGGCACTAATCTCAAAGGTTAGACAGCTAATGGAGACCTAAGAGCATCAGAAGCAGGAGCACATATCAATTCCTGACCATATATACAATAACAAGTAGATGTACATCAAGCTGGGGATTGTCCAGTGTAGCCCAGGAGAATGGTAGCATGATATAACAGGCCAAGCATTATCTTATCATAAGAAAAGATAATTTATATCACTCATACCATTTTTCCCTCTGATTGACTTGAAGCGACCGTCACAGGTCTAGAGGTCTGGAAAGGGGAGTTCTGAAGTATTTGGGACAAAAATGGTAATATAAAGGGTAAGGACTTGTAATAATTTAATACCAAAAAAAATCTCACCTCCCAACCTAATTTTAGCTACAGCATCCAAGTATATGACCAGATATACAAGGTTATATAGACCAATTAGCCACAGTTTAATCACCAAAGCAACAGACCAAACCAGTGTCCAAATATTCAAAATACCAGGCCCTTTGTAAGACAACTGGATTAAACAATTCAAGAAATTGCTAAACATTCAACCTCAACAACAACAATAATCAAATTTAGTGATATGATCCTTCCAAAACACAATGACTTAGTGGTACTGTGGCAATTAAGACCTACAAAATCCTACCAATTAAATTACTTTTTACAGTGTATTATCATTTGGCATTTTAAAAGTTAAACAAATAAATAGTATAGAAAATGTAAATCATGTTAAGATGGTAAAAAATAGGCAGAATTTGATATTTTTAAAAATTACAAGTGGGTACGTCATTATAAAATATCATCAAGATGACAGTAAAATGCTTCATATTTCTAAATTTACTTTCTGTCTATATAGTTAATAGATTTATGTCATTTGGCTCCATCAAAATAGTTGTTTTATTTAAAAATTGGTGGGGGATTGTTTTAATGGATTTGGTTGTATCAAACTATTTTTCATGATTGAAAAGATTGCCCATATATCCCACATATCCCATATATCCCTCTGATTGGTTCACTGTATTCTAATTAACAACAAAATAAAAATAGCTAGTGCTACAGTCAGCAAGATGGTGGTGATTCACTTCCTTCATTTCCATCCAGAACTTAGTAACAATAACAATAACAACAAAAAGATAAAGATGGAGAGATTGCATCACAAGATGGCAAGTAAGTTGGAAAAAAGTAGAAACAATAAAACATTGGAAGGAAGCAAAATATCACATGGAAGAGCTAGAAAAGAAAATTTTCACATCAGAAAAAAAAAAGAAAAATATGGGATGACAACAATAAAACTAAGAGAAATTCAAACAGAAACACAGAGGGGGGAAAGGGTCAAAATTGAAAAGATAAAGTTATAAAAATAAAATAGGTAAGAGTTGTTAGATAAAATTTCTATAAATTTTAAGAGGTTTTCCTGTTTCAAATGTCAGAAAAATAATTGTAATCTCTTTAAAATGTAAAAATTGTCCAGATTATAAAAATTACTTTTATGTGATGGGGATAATGTGATAGTAGTGTTGATAGTGAAGTTATATTTCTAAAAGTACCTAACAGAATATGTATATTTTTCTACCCAAGGGCACTTTACCACTGAGCTACATCCCCAGTCCTTTTTACACTTTATTTTCAGAGAAGGTCTCACTAAATTGCCAAGGTTGGCCTTGATCTTATCATCCTCCTGCCTCAGGTTCCTGAGTTGCTGGAATTGCAGGTATGTGCCACCACATCTCACTCTAAGAGAATATTCTGACAATATAATAAAGGTTGGGCTCAAACTCAAGACCATTTGAGTAATGTCTCTGACTTTTTTTTAACTGTTGATGGACCTTTATTTAATTAATTTATTTATATGTGGTGCTGAGAGTCCATCCCAGTGCCTCACACATGCTATGCAAGTGCTCTACCACTGAGCCACAACCCCAGCCCAATGTCTCTGACTTTGATGATGAAATTCATTAAATCCTACCTATCTCAATTTTACAGTGGCATTATTTCCTAACACTCTCTTCTGCATACTACTGAGAACACAGGATTAATTAGTCCACACCACTTTATGAGGCCAAGATGTTTACTGTTTGCATTTCATTCTTATAGCTTACTTCCAGAATTGAACAAATAAGATAATGTGGTTGTCAATTCAATAACATTATTTGCTTCTCCAAATCAAATTGACTTGCTCTTTCTTTTTCTTATCGCTTAATCATATGATATAGTCTATTCACTAGCCATCATGGTATGAGAAATGAAATTTAACTGTTTGATATTGACATTTCTTTCTGGTTTAACAAGCCAAGATTTGATGGTAATGGTTCTATTAAAGATTTTCTCCCAAAATGTATTCAAAATTACTCATTGTTTCAGAAAGCACATTTGATTGAGTTCCTTACTAGCAGAGAAAAAAAAGTAGTTGATCTTCCTAGGGAATATTTTTAGCAATATCTTTTCCCTCACCTTTCTAAAAGAGGTGCCAAATCTTTTTCTTAAAAAGAAAATATAAAATGGCATACATCTGAGATCTTGTGCTCTATGAGCACTACATATCCAAAGAATGGATTGATACATAGCTATGGTGTATCCACAGAATTCTGATTGGTATTTGCTATACATAGTAAGTGTGTGTGTGTGTGTGTGTGTGTGTATGTGTGTGTGTGTGTGTGTGTGTGAAGTAAACATATAACCACTAAAACGTACATGATGTATCAGTATTTCTCCTTGAAACATGGAGTTTGTTGTTTTGAATGTCTACAAAATGTATCTATTAATAATCTAATGTTGGGCATGATAGCACATGCCTATAATCCTAGCAACTCAGGAGGTTGAGGCAGGATTATCACAAATTCAAGGCTAACCTTAGCAACTTATTGAAATTTGACAAGACCCTGTCTCAAAATAATAATGATAATATTAAAAAAAAAAAAAAAAAAAAAAAAAAAAAAAAACGGTCTATAGATGTAGTAGTGGTAAAGCACCACTGGTTTCAATCCCCAGTAGAAAAAAAAAAAAACAAAAACACAAGAAACAAAACAAAATGCTAAAAATAATCTATGTACTTGAAATCAAATAGAAGATTAAGTTAATTTTATAGAGCTTTTTGGTTAGTGCAGTTAGCTCATCTGTGTAATTCAGGTCCTAATGTAAAGCCTGAATTATTCAGATCAACTGTCATCACTGGCCAAATTGAGTAGATGATTCTCTGATTCACTTCACATAATAAAGAACAGGTTCAGGCAGGGTCTCCTTACCAAGACTACATTTTCTGTGCTATGGTAAATTAATATTTTCAACCAACTTGAAGACTATACAGGGATAAGATATTTCTGTTAAGATGGAACTAAATAATTTTGTCAATATTGTTGCCAACTTCTACTGCATCTATAATTGTGTATGAAAAGTCCATTTTTCTTGGAATCATCAAAAACATTGAGTCTGACATTTGGGGACATGGCAAATCTTGATTGACACTATTTTTATAAAGGATTTTTTTTCATGGCTTACAAAACAAAATAAGGAGCTTACTTACAGTGAATTCCCCGGTGACTGCATCAAACCCCACATGAATCGTATGCTCAAAGTCTGAAGGAAGAGAGATCTCTGGGCGCTCTTTCTCCTTCTTCTTATTGGCTAAAGGCAAAATGTTAACATGCGTTTATTTGGGGTATAGTTTTGTCTTCCAAAGTGTACAACTAGGTTCATCAAAACAATTCTAAAGTTGAAAGACAATTGATTCCCCTACAATTTTAATAATACTTAATTCCAGAAATTCCAATTATTTGTAGAAGTGGCTGAGATTTAGATGAAAATATTATGTTGAAATCATTTAAAAATTTATAAAATATAATTCAAACAAAACCTCCATTAGAGTTGATTTATTTAATTTACCAATCTAATGAAGTAAATTGACAGGTGTGAGTTTATTGTGTTTAACTGGTTTTATCGGGTCAAATAAGAAACTCATTACATTCAAGTCAAGCTAAGGCTTAGTATTAGAAAGAATAGAAAAGTACTTCAGCTATCTATAGAACTAATATGGATTTTTTCCATGTTAACATTAGCTAAAGTGGCTGGAAGTTTCTCAATTTACATATTTACATTATGAAGTGTATCATAATCTTCTTGGAACAAACATACTATTACAAGTAATGATGTTATAAATCTTTTTCTATCTTTAAAACCATTTTTAATCATTTCCCACACAACACAATCCCAGTAACAATTAAAAAATGTTACTTGTTACTGAATAAATTTTATTAGCTTTTGAAACCTCAAATTAGGTCTTTGGTTTAGTTTTTCTAATCCATAACTATTTTTTATATCCCCATTATATTCTGTCATGTTAGCCATTTGAAATCATTGCCTTTCTCAAGTAGCAGATTTTTCATGGTGACATAATTATGAATAAATGTATTGGTATTTAATAAGTCAAATGCCTTTAAAGATAACATTACTGAAGAAATTAAGTTAGGAACTATAAGGAAAGTAATATATCTGGAAATGATTCCCAGAAGGAAAGTACCATGAAAACATTTTTAAATGGTCTCTAGTAGCATCAGTAAAAGACATATCAGCAGATTTGAGCATATATCTCTCACAAGAGTGTATTTCACACTGAAAAAATAATAATACTCACCTTCCTAATACTGGGCAAGTCAATGTGAACCTGGTTTACCTAGGTGAAACTAGATGATCCCTTCGCCCAAGTTACAGGAAATATACAATTAACCATATACAAATTACTTCAGGTTACTTACTGGTTTTGTAGGTTACATGTGATAAATTTTAAAATGAAAACCTTTCATATCAATATCAGTCTTATGGCTTCTTTTCTCTTTCCGTTCTCTTACACTGCTCTCTATGTTCACCCAGACAACAGAGATATGGGTCAGTAATATGAAAATTCAAGTAGTCAGGAGGACTATGCGGAATCAGGGGGAAAAATTTTGGAGGCAGAGGGACAAGAGCCACTCAGAACCTTTGCCTGGCATGAAATAGATGTAGGACTCATTTTTTTAAAAAAGTATATATTCCATCTAACCTAAACTTAGAATAGATTCTATTTTTATACTAAGTCTACTTTATTGATGAATATCATAATAACAGTGGATGTAAAAGCTTCCGGTTTTATTCCTAATGCCTCTGCATGTTCGTATACTACAGTTACCATTTATACTAGTTCAACCATTTTCATTTGTTTAGAAAGCCAGATCAAACAATCATGATTGTTGTCTTCCAAGGCTAACCTCTCTTTCCACTTCCTTGACAATGTGGTCTTACTTTCCTCCTCCCTCAGTGATCATTTTTTCTTTGTCATTATTTCTTTCTCTTCTGCCTTTCCTAATGCTGGCTTTGTCCTTCTGTAATCCTTTCTCTATACTCATTCCTCCAGGATTGAATCCAGATACTAACTCAAGTTAGAGAATTCCTTAATCTGTGGTTGACAGGGGGTGGATTCAGATATTGTGGGATGAAACACTTTTGAGAGGCAGGCTCATTTTAAGAAATAACAATAAAAATAAATATAAAATTGCTAGGGCCACTATTAGGGTTTTGAAAGTCCCATGCAAGTGAGGAATTCTGATGAAGAAGCTTTGTTCATTTCATAGTAACTAGCTCTTCGTAACATTTTTGGGGTCAGTCTACTATGAAATATCTGAAGAAAGTTGTGGAATTTATCCAAAAATGTGGTATACATATTTGCATATACCTTCAGAGGTTCATAATTCTCCTGGACTCCAGTTTAAGAGCCCATACTTTGATCTTAATCCTTATATCAACTTGCATTCATGTTCTCTATTTCCAGCAAATAAACTCTCCTAACTTCTCTATTAGTATTGGCGTGCATTTGACTCACTCCCCTTGGGCTGAGTTATACCCAGAATTGGCTTTATGGTGTTTCCCTAGAAGGTCATCTGATTGCCAGTATCTTACCAGACCAATCATTCCATTCCTTGCATTCAGGGCCAAGCATAACAGAGGCAGGAAGCCAAATTCGTTTCTCTATTGTTCCCTATCTCCATGAAAGAAATCACCAATCATCCAAATCGGAGGAGTAAAGACAGACGGGTCCTCTTTTGGGGACTCTAAGCAAGGAAGGGATTGTGATTCCCTTCAACATGTAAGTTAAATAAAAATAATATTAAAGTATAAAAAGTTAAGGAAGTTCAAAATATTTTGATGTTACTATGATGGATAATAAGTCCTTTTAAAAGCTATATATACAGGGCTGGGATTGTAGCTCGGTGGTAGAGCACTCACCTAGCATGTGTGAGGCTCTGGATTCGATCACCAGCACCACATAAAAAATAAATAAAGGTATTGTGTTCACCTACAAATAAAAAATAATATTTAAAAAGCTATATATGCAAAATCATAAAGTTTTCATATTTTGGGCACCCCTGATTTCCTGGATCGCATAAATTTTACTCCATCCACTGGATAATTCAGCAGTGGTCCAGCAACCAAAACCAAAATTTTGTGAGTCATTTTTTACTCCTACTTTATTTCTACATTAATTAGTCACCAAGTTTCTTTTCATCCTATCTCCTAAACTTCATTCTTTCTTCTCCACTAACCACTTAGTCCAAAGCAAGGCATTACTATTCCTTTCACTGCCTCCAATTTTCTCCCCTCCAATTCATTACTCTTTGAACATATATCACATTCTCACCTTTTAAGATCCTTAAATGCACCACCATTGCCCTATCAATGTTAAAAGTTCATGCTCTTTAGAATGATATCCAAGGGCCTGCAAAATCTATTCCTAACTTATCTCTCCAGCCTCTGATTTGGAACCCACTATCCATACCTATCCCATGTTCCTTACATGACCAGGTTTTTCTCTTGCCTCCAAGCTTTGATACATGCTAGACTCAGACCTGGAAAGCCATGTTTCTTACATATTTTTCCCAGCTTTATGTGGATGATTCCCTTCATCCTTTTATTTTTCTAGTTCTAGGGATGGAACCCAGGGCCTTGGACATGTGAGGGAAGTGCTTTACCACTGACTGACAACCCTGGGCAGTCCTTGTTCTTGAAGGTTTCCACTCCCTTAGTGTGTTCCCTTTGCAGACAAAGTTAAATGCCTGTTCTTTTATGTTCCCATAGAACCACCCAATGTATATTTTGACTTGTCACATAACATACCTATCTCTTTAGCTAAAATTTGCAGGAAAACAAGTATCATTCTCACATTCTCCATCACCTGCCTTGGGTCTGTACACTTATGAACTATCCTTTATGAAACATTCACCTTGAGCAAAGTATATCTATGGTTTTCTCAATTGATCTCCACAACAATATTATGAATATGTTTATTATGGTTGTATTATTATTGATTTATGGATAAGAAAAGTAAGACTTAAGAGAGGTTAAGCCATACGCCCAGGTTATACAGCTGGCAAATATCAGAGCCAACGTTTAAACCTATGTCCCCACTATGTCTCCAGAATCTAAGTTCTTAATAGTTACACTACTTATTATGAATATTTAAAATTAAACATATTTGGACCTTATCCTTCAGTAAATTTCAATGACTGGCGTCTAGATGAGAATGGATTTTTGGTTTATTTTATTTTTTAGGAACACTAAATTGTCTTTATCTCCCTCAGAGAATTCTGAGTACTGGGCATTTATATTAAAATTCAGCCTACCCTGAGTCTTAAGCTAAAACCCAGCCTGATTAGCTCTAGGTTAGTATTCACAAAGAATGGAAGCCCAAATGAGTATCACTTTCTAAGTGTACCTCTAATATCCTATTGGAACCCAGAACAAAGCCAAAGATTGCTGGCTGAACCACAAATTGCAAATGAGATTTGGCCTTGGGAACCCCTGGCTGTGCATGAGTTCTGGTTGTAACTCTAATCTCTCCAGAGTCTCTTATTCTGACAGCTTTCTCTATTACATTACCTTGTAAAGAAAGAAAAGTCATCTAGTCATCTATCATCTCCTCTATACCCAGTCCAATATTCTGCCTGCCCTCTAGTGGCTAGAGCTTGTCCCATTAAGAACAAACTCCCCTACATCTTCAACCTCTTCAGTAAATGTTCTCTTCGTTTCTTGCCTATCATGTGAGAAATTATTTTTAGGGAGAGGCCATAACCCCACTCCTGTCAATCTGGGGTAGGCCCAGTCATCTTTACTTTTTAAGGTTCCTCAGGTATTTCAATTACATAGCCGGTGTTGAGAAATACTGTAAATCTCACTATCCAATGAGGATAACAACTTCCTCAGATAACCTGGTAGAGTATGCTCATTCTTCCTCATCCCAAGCCTATTGGCCTAGGGGAACAGGGAGGGTAGGCTTTCTCCCAGTTTACTCCAAATTCTTTATTTGAAATCATTACTTCTGCACTTGACTACAAAATCCTCTCCTTTTGAGGTTATCGAAACTTTGTTTTCTTGGCCATGTCCTTGTATCCACTGAGGACTTTAGCTCCAAATTTTCCCTCCAATACTCTACACTACCATCACTGTGTGAAACATAAGATATGAATGGACAATAAATGGGCACCTCCTTAACACTCTTTCCTCAGGGCTCCTTGACCTCCCTCGACTCTAGTGAACTTTACCTCCTTCCACTTCTGCAATTTACTCCCATGGCTATCCTTTAAGCCACTGGTTCTCAA